GCTTGGGCATGCGAATGCCTGCGACTTGAGGTTTGTTTGACTGCCCTTTGTCAGAGCCCCTTTGTTACGTCTCTCTTTGGCACGGGGTCCTCAAATCTCTCTTCACAGCGCTTTCCTTCTCCACCTTCCAGAGAATACCTCTTCCACGTGCAGGTTGCGCTGGCAAACCGGGACTCACACCTTGCACATGCGCCTTCGGGGGTTAGAGGGTTTCTCGTCTGACAAGCTTCCCTGAGGTGTGCCGGGCACCGGCTACAGGACCATCGACGCAGATGAGGACTCGTGGTGGCCTGGCGGTCGCAGTAGTACAGTTTCAGGGTGAACACCCCTTGCAGCAGCTGCTGAGATAATGGGGCAGTCAAAAAAGACCGGTGTAGAAGTCGGATAGGCCTTGGCTCTGTGAGATTCACTTTGGGGTAGATCTGGGAAGTTCTTAGAATTGCTCAGCCAGGGCTCAAATCTTGGAAGGCCTTGCCTTGTTGTCGTTGTATGCTATAGATAAGCCTGTGGAGGCCTGGTACTTTTAACTTAGTCAGGCCCCCGCGGCCTCAGACCTGGGGAGGAGAGACTGTTTGATGCGTGGAGCCGCTGTACGCGGGTGAAGATGTGCAGCAAGCACTCCTGGCAACCTCCCACTGGGACCGCATCGACGAGCACAGAGGTTCCTTGAGAAAAGAAGGCTCTTTGTAAGGCTTTTGCGGCCCGTGGCCGCGCAACTTCAGGCAAGCACCATGATGCGTCATGAGCATCAGGTGCCATCGCTGTGCCACAAACCCGCCCCCCCCCCCGGCCAGTCAAGCATCACGAGCATCAGGCGTCGAGGCCCTGTACCACATTCTTCTGCTGCGTGTTCAGCATCACCAGCATCTAGCAGCGCCGTGTGTCACACAACTGCGCGAGCATGAGTTGCCAGCCAATCCAGCCTTGAAGCCCAACGAGGCAAGCATCATGAGAATGAGATGCTTCGGCCCCGTGTCGCGTAGCTCGACCACACAAGCATCATGAGCATCACTTGGAGTCCTTGGAGCTTGTTGGATCGGGGCCGAGTCCAATCCCCAAGGTTTCTACAACAGCACCCAAGCCATGCCCGTAAGGATATGTGGAGGCCTGCTGTTTTGGAGTCCATTCATGGCACGCCTCAACTCAAAGCCCAAAGCCCTGGGCCCTACTGTCGGCCCTTAGCCCTCAACCTGAAAACGCATAACTTAAGCCTTCGGCAGGATGCAAAGATGACCTTGGACATCTTGGCGTCGGCGAACCTGACTCGCGACATCCTGGCCAGGGTTCCCAGCGGTTCCGAGCCCCTCAGAACCAGAGCAGAAGGCTTCCCCCCTCCAGGACCCCACTCTGCTGGCTTTTAGATGTCTCGGGCAGAGGACTCGACTGACTGTAGGTCGGGGGTTGATTCGCTGTGCGTGGCCCTGAAATCAGTGCAGATTGCAGGCTGCACGAACTCGTTTTGGGCGTTGGCGTTTGCATTTTCACGAGCAGCCCTCGTCCCTGTATGTGTACAAACATGGCACTCTCGTTGCATTAGCTTCAGTATTTTAGAGTAGCACTCAAAAGCGAGCTTTTTTCAGGATGAGCGCTGTCATTTGCAAGTATTGAGGCATATGATTGAGAACACACCAACAGCAAAGCGCACGGGCTGCTGTTCGATGGGGCTGCGTACTTAAGGAGCTTTGCCTGAAGATCGGGACATCGTCTGCTGCAGATTCCGGTAAACTGTGCGAACTTGCTGCAACGCTTTTGCGGAATCCGTGGAAACCAGTTGGGTTCCACCCTTCCTTCCCTCACCCCGACGAACACGCCTTGCCCAGTGCTAGCCGCACCAATCCTAATCGCAACCAAGGGCACCATCAAGTTGACGGGCGACATCCTCGCATCGGCCCCGAGCACTCAAGGAATTCAAGGGTTTCCCAATCGGGTCCAACCTTCAGTTTGGACTGGTGGTTTCTGGAACTAAGATTTTGTGATGGGCGCTGGGGTGCTTAGGAGTGCTTAGGAGTTCGAGTATGCGTCCGAAGCGGGGGCATATTGGGGATCTGAGCTTCGGAGAGTAGCCTTTGGGACTGTCGGCTTGGGTAGCACGCAGTAAAGCGGTGGGATCGCCGAATCACTTGTAGCTCCGAACTTTTAGGGTTCATGTCTTTCAGGTTTTTTAAGGGGTGACTTCTGAGCACTAACAAAGTTTGGTCCGAGAACTGCTTTAGGAATTCCGGCCCGGGCCTCCTCACGAGTTTTGGGCCCTCGACCCTCGACCCTCTACGGTCCACAGCATCTTCCCGAGGCTGACGCCACGACGACTCCCAGTGTGAGGGCCTTGGAGTCGAAGAGAGTTGCTCTCCCCGCCCCCTGCTCTCCCCGCGTGTTGGACTGATCGCCAAGTTCCCCAGCTCCCTTCCTGGAGGACAACTGATGGTGAGATGCAAGCCTCACAGGAAGCACTTCAAGGAACGAAGGATGAATTCCTACAAGCCTTGTACCCTAGGCCTGCAGGCCGTCCAAGCGCCTCCTCGGAATTTTTTCTTCGGGTGTTTCTTCCGGGCACCCCAATTTTGTAAACGTTTCGTGGTTGCTTAGTTCAAGGTAGCCCTCCAAGCCCGAACCCCACCCCACTGCGGAAGGTCGAAGAAGGCTGACACTGCATGGGAACCCCTGCCATGGTCAGCATCGAGCAGGCAGGTGAACACACACAGTTTGGGGAGCCTTGAATTTTCTGCAAACGTTCTACGCATCCTATTGCAGGGGGTTGATGGGTGGAAAGAGGGTCAACGGTGTCTCTTCTGCCCAGGTATTTTCTTGTGCTACTCGCAAGGTGGTGTTAACTGCGTTTGTTGATTTTACCGGCACAATGCTGGCCCATGCAAGTTAAGCCAAGACAATACCTCGGAGAACAGGACGTGACTAGTGTTGGAGACACAAATGCTGAATCCTGAAGCTGTGACATGCCAAAGCCGAAGTGCCCTGCAGGGCCCAACGACAGTGGCGCACCGCTTCATGGTGCTGCAAAATGGCTCTCTTGGGGTAAAGGGATATGGGCTATTCTGAAATTCCGAGCCTCCACACTTCAGACCGTCCCCCAGCACTCTGCACCAGGGCGTGCAAGGTCGCGGGGTCGGGAACGGGCTCGATTGGAACGCCGAGAAGTGTTAATTTGGAAAGCGCTCAAAAATGCCAGTTTGGAACATGGAATGTGTTTCAAACTGACGCCGTTTTAGGACGGCCGGGTTCGAAAGTGACGCTTTTTGCTGCCAACCATTTGTTGTTTCCATGATTCCGTGAAGCTGTTTTTTTTTCTGAGGCGGATTGTTGGTAAAGTATGATTTAGGTTGCTCTAACGTGTTGCCCTTTTGGTTTTTCTGATGTGGCGTTGGCAAGGTGTGTTTGCTTCTAAGACGGCTTTCCTATATGGGAGAGAGGGCGAGAGAGGCGGAGCCAGGGAGATGGGGCAGGTTCACCGAGCTGAAGAGTTTCAAAGGCTGTTTTCCCATCCGCGCTCCGCAAAGTGTGGCTCGGAGATTCGGGTTTCTGGAGCTTATCTGGTGGCTGCAGAGCGCTCAGGCCGGTGCTGCTTTGGCTCCCAAGCCCAAAAAACTAAAACCTTTAAAAAACCCCGAAGCCTAAGACGTGGCCAAGAGTGTTTTTTGATGTTGGACTTCGGGTCGTCGAGCACGGCTTCTGACTATGCCCATATTCCCAAACCTTGCCGAAACCATGGACAACATGGGCGAGCATGGCCTTGGAGAACAGAGTTGACAATAGCTGCAATGCGCCTGCAATGCATCCCGACTTAAAAGAGAACAATGTCGCAGGCCCTAGGCACACTCAGGCGAAACAAAAGTCAAGCGATGACGATGACGCCCAATTAACAAACCCTCTTTTGATCTGCATAGGTTCCGTACAAATCTCGCAGGCCTGTGCCTAGGATCAGCTCGCTGTGTGACATTAGACCCATACTGAATCTCCAGCTCATCCCCTGACATCCCCCATAAGGCAACAACCAGAAACTTGAAATCGCCATCCCCCACCAGGATGGCATTCCGGCTCACCTACAGACGGCAGTCGCTGTCTTAGGTCTCATTCGGGTAGTGATGATGAGCATGCCAAATTTTACCTCAGGAACAAACTCCCACGTGCCGGCGGCTTCACCCAAACGCCTTGGGGCACGAGACAGCGTTATTTTCTAGGGTCTGGGAAGCCCAAACTGCTTCGTGTGAGTTCTGAGTTCTGAACGTCTCAAGTCCTACTTCCGTAGTTGGACCTACCATGAAGGGCTCTGCGGAACTACGTGGAACCCAATTTGCCCGGCATTTGCTGAGCAGAGCGGGGCTCGAAAGCAACATGCAGTCAACGTTTGCATGCCGCAACCATGAGGTCCGAGACTACTCTAACTAACACCTCCACTTGGCTGCAGTCCCTGTCGCTTTCAGTGAGGAGAACGTAGGCATTCATGGTCGTGGACTATCTCATCTTCCTTTCTTTTCTATGGAGGCATCATGCCCGGAGGCGCAGGAGCTCAACTCGTTCTTTGATCGATAAACGGGGGTGGGGTGGGGGAGAGGGGTGGGGGAAGTCCAACACCGGAAGAATCCCCGCATTCGCATTCCCTCTTCGAGAGCGACTCAGAAGGACCATCGGTTATTCCGATTCCTTCGAGTGAGGATACAGGAGCCTCGCTGTATTCTCAAGAATTATGCCTTGGATGCGCGTGTTGTGAGACGCAAAAGTTTTTCCAATGCGGTGACTGCAGCAGATCTTTGGGCACAAAAGACCGCTATTACATGTGCGGGAATTGCGCCAAAATGGAAGGGTTTCTTGGCTTACTTGCGGTTACACAGTTGAATCGGAAAATGACCTGTGCACAGCAAGTGAGTTTTTCTTCACACTTCTGAAGAAGAACAGCATAACTCCTGGCACCTCCCGCAAGCACTCCGAGAACGTGACTGCTGCGAAGGCCGTGCTGATTCTCCGAGAGTGCATCAGTCAGAGAAGAGTACATGATCAAGGAAGTAGCCCGCTCCGACAGAACAGACTTTGACATTTCAGACCTCTCTTCCTGGTTGCCTTCGTGGTCGTATGCCGTGATCCGCCTGAAGACAGGATTGCTAGACAGGTGCATGTCGGAAGAACGGGTCGCACGACGCCTTATCAACCAGTTCATAGTGCTCGGCACCGCCGCGGATCATCTGGGTGCTGTGGATGTTGCCCAGGCTGAGTTCATCGTGATCACCAAAGAGGCTTGGTGGTTCTACTTCTATCCTTTCCGTGCCAGAAAGGATGCAGAAAATGCCATGAAAGCCTGGCGGTTTTCAGCAAGCATCCTTTTCAAGGTGGATCTTGAAGAAGCTTGCTTGAGGTCAAGTGCTGGCATGGGTATTTCTGGTCGTGCCGAGTGAGTTCTATTCGGAACCAGGTACAGTCGCTGTGCCTAACTTGAAGCAGCAGGCATTGCGTGCCGGAGCGAGGCTCAACATACTGCTCGCGCGTATCTTGCGTGCCTGGGCGAGGCTCAACATACTGCTCGCACGTATCTAATTAGAGTTTAGCTTTTGGGCCTGTCATGGTACGACCCCACAAACCCTAAACCTTTGACCCGACCCTAAGGCAAGAACTGCAGGTTTGGCGTTTAGGGTTTATGAAGCAGGGGCCGAACAGATCTTAGTTTCCACCTTGCGTCGAAAATCGCATGACAAGACCTGGGGCCGAATAAGTTAATTCCAACTTTGCTTGTATCATTGCTTGTGTAGTGTCTGAAAACTAATTACGGTCCCAAAGCGGTGAGGCACCTTGCCTTACTTCTCTATCTCTGCAACCTAGACCCCGGTCCCTCGGACAGAGTTTCTGTCGACACAATACCCAGGTGCCGCTACAACACCAAGTCGAACAAGCAGCGCGTGGTTAAGACCCCGGGCGGTTCGGGCCTCGCAGATCTTTTGAAGTCTTTAACCTTTCTGGCTGCTTTTGGCGGTTTTGGGTGATGTGTGTGGTGGTTAGTAGCCCTATTGAGGGCATCTTTTTTTGTTTCTTTTGAGAGGACATGGGGGTGGTGGTGCTTTCAGGGTTATGCTCAGATTGTGCATGTCAGGTCCGTTTGCAGCTTCCTGTCCTGGGGAGTCCGTGGTACGTGGTAGATTCCGTGGTAGTCGGGTTTGGAGCTCGAGGTTAGCCCGATATTCGAAGACCCCTTCGACAATACAGTACTCTATGGCCTAGAACCCGGAGATGTTGAGCCTAAAGGCTTGTTGAGCTTAAAGGCTTGTATTCCTTGGAGGCTCCCAAAGACCTGAGTCCTTGACTGCAGTCAACGCCCGCACCTCCAACAAGAAGGAGGGCCGTTCAGGGTACGTCATGCTATGCTATGGCTCCTACTTCCTAGAGGGTAGACCTTGCAATCTGCTTCCACATGAGCACAATGTCCTTGCGCCGTGACACTGAGGTCGTGCGGTGTACCAGGCGATCAAGAAGCTTGGATGGTTACGGCCATTTGTTTGTTAGCGTCACTCCACCTACTTATGTGCGCGTTCCGGTGTGCCTTCACAGACCCTAGCTAGACCCTGAACATGCCAACTTTTGAAGATGTAAAAGCCGACTCCCTAAATCCTGGACCCTGAATTCATCTGAATGTGCGGACCCCCCCACATTTCAAGCAAGGAAGAAGGCAAAGGGCCCCCACTGTGGTGACTGCGGCAAGGCCTGTATGGATTGCTGTCATGTCCTGCCAGAACCCAAATTTCCCCGAGCCTTGAGTGTGCTTTTGAGAAGGCGGCGTTCAGGGCCAAGACGCGGCCAAAACATTTCTTTCACTCGTCGAAGGTAGTGAATACTCTTAAGATTCGAGAAATGTTCTACCTGACATCGAGATATTGGAGTTATCCGAGAAATGGCTGTGGTTGCTGTACGCTCCTTGACAACTTCTTTCTGGATTGTCACTAAACCACTTGATTTGATTATCTTCCTACAATTGGCCGCATCACCTTTTTTCGACTTTGAGCTCAAAGGCGCGACTTGGAGTCTGCGGTGCGCACAAGTGAAAGAAGTGAAAGGTTGCATGGACCTAGCCCAAGGCCCCAAGGCCGGAAACCTTGGATTCACTTGGGATTCAACTGCCATGGACTGGTCTACTGCCAAAAGCACAGGCAGAGCCATCCCACGTTTCCTTTAGAAAGCTCACAGCTGGGCACAGCTGGGATCTTTCTAGCTCAGCAATAATTGCGGGGCAGGGGGGGTTTCTGGGGGGGCAGGGTGTGGGGGGGAGTGGGGGGGGGGGGGCGAGGCGAGCACCCAGCTTCACTTGGCATGAGACCCGAAATCAACAGGAGCGAAAGAAAGCTAGAAAGTGGTGGAACGCCGTGCACACCATCCGCGCCGACTATACACCACGCGCGCGCTAGCCGTGCTTGCCGCCATCCGCTTCTCTGGGTCCGCTTCTCTGTCGGAGCGAGAGCTGCTAGAGAATGCATACACCTCAACCATAGAGAAGCAGTGAACTTCAACCCTAATTCAACCCTAATTCCTCAATCCGACATCTGCGCGACCTTGAAAACGTAAAACTAGAATCTTCCCAAGCTCTGAACCCCAAGGCGCTGTCGCATGCCGCAAACCCTAAACCCTGGATCCCTGAGCTTACTCCCAGGGCTTCGTCATTTCTTGGATCTCCAAGATTATGAGAGGACCTTGGAAGGTTTTCGAGGAAGGTTTTCGAGTTTGTAGCCCTGCCGGAGGCCCTGATCGGCCTGCCCCGCTTGCGACCCATCGAGTGCGCCGGTTGCCCAAACCCTCAACCAACACTAGCCTCAAACGGTTTGAGGCTGGGGGGAACTATATACGTCCAGCCTCATACAAGGTTCCACGCTTTGTCCACTGCTCCAGCACACAGAGCGCACGTATAAGCACCCCGGGCGGCGGAGTCTGATGCCGAGAGGGGCCCTGCTGTCTCTTGGTTTCCAGCTGATTAACTGCGAGTTCTTCTTCCCTCAAAGGAGCCCACCACCTCGAGCTAGAACCGCCTTAATGCTGGGCTGAGATGCTTTCAGCAATTAAAACGAAAGGTTAAGACAAACGGTTTTGTACTTGTCAATTCTTTTGAACCCTGAGCGAACCCTATATACCTTGACTTCCTCAACCCGAAAATCTCAAAAAGAAGAGGTACATGCGCCTCAAGAAGCGCGAGAAGCGCGTCAACCGTGCCTACGGCGGGTCCCGCTGCGCTCACTGCGCCCGGGGCCCGTACAATTTAGGCTGTTTGTGCACAAACGCACAGGTAGTTGGTTGAGGGCTGAGTGGCATGAGCATGGCCCCCCCAAACCTGTATGGTCCCAGCCATTTGGCGCTGGGCTTCCTTCAGCCCAGCACAGCAGGTCCGAGAGCGCATCGTTCGTGCTTTCCTGATTGAGGACAACGTGGGAAAGTTGTGTTTCGATTGAAAGAATTTGGTCTGGCTTGGTGTAGGGCTGTATGTCAAATCGGGAGGGGTAGATCATTGTTGTCTTCTAAGAGCATTCCTGGACCCTGAAGGAACCCCCCTGCGTCCCTAGGGTTCTGGAGTACATGTCTGCATGTCGAGATATTTTTTTCGCCGCAGCCCTTGCTAGAACTCCCAATCTCTAGTCGAGCCGTGCACTCCCAAAAGTTATGTGTTGGCTGTACCCAAGAGCTGAAACGAGCTTCATGTTGACAGGTGTTGCTGCGGGCTCATGTGGTTGAGAAGGCATCCTCATGTTTAGGCCGTCCATTTCAGCCTGATTCAGAGTAGTTGTCATGGCAAGCTGAGCGTCTCGCAGGAGCAGAAGTGCGTCAAGCAGGCTCCGAATGCGCACCTTGATCCCTGAGCCTAGCTTTGCCATGTTCCATGAGCACTGCAGGGAAGTTGAGCACTCATAACACCAGGAAGGCTGTGGCGGTTCTTACAGATCTGTGTGCGTATCGTTTTGTGCTTCTTGCTTTGTTGGTTTTGTTTCCTTTTTTTGTGTTTGGTCACGTCTTGTTCTCTGAAAGAAGAGGAAACTTGAACGAACACAGCAACGAGGCAAAGAAAGAAAACCCTAAACCGCCTAAACCCTGAACCCCGAACTCTAAAGCAAAGCAAGCATATAGGAAAACACAAGCCTGGCTCCAATCTGTACATGTAGGTAGAAAGCACAGGCGCAGTGGCTGAGGCTCTTGAAATTTCGTAGCTGCACCATTCTTGACAAGCAGCGACAAGTTCCCTGAGCGCTGGACCCTCCTCTCATGATCGGAGCGCAGAGTTTTGCGATTCAGGGCTCCGCGGGTCTGAGGGCTCAGGATTTCGGAGTTGGAGTGTGCTCTGGAGCTGTTCCGGACCAAGTGAAATCCAGATCGCACCTCCAGGAAGGTAGGCCGACAGGAGTTCGGGTAAAGCTGGCGAGGGCTTCAGGCCCATTGTTGGGTTCAAGTCAGGGGCTTGTCATAAGAACAAGTAGAACTTACAGGAAGACGATAAAACAAAATGTATAGAAAAAAGTAACAGTATGTGTTGCAGAATAATGAATAATGTGTGGTGTGCAACAATCTATGCAGTGGAATAGCGGGTGAGCAGCAGGTGCAGTGGAATACTGGACCCAGAACAAAGACATGTGAGTTGAAAAAGGAGTCAAGATATAAGACGCCGAACAGCGATTCCAAATGAGGAGTTGGGGGTTCTTTGTCCGCCCTCCGGGCCAGGTGTTGGCGGAGAAGATGTCCCAGGCCGCTCAGAGTTCGGTTGCTTGGGGTACTGTAGCTGGTGGAGCAGTGTTCGGTGCTTGCTTCGGCTTCAGATGCAGGCTTTCGTGCGGAGATTGCCGAGTTGAAGTCGCACTTACTTGTTGGGAACTGGGGGGTTTCTGAAGCTGTCTTTAGCTGAGATGTACGATTTTTATTCAACAAGTGCCTTCCGAATCACAGGCTGTCGTGACAACAGGTGGTTGCTTTACACCTCGGGCCTAGTGTGGCGCTGGGAGGGCTGTAGAGCGCAAAGCCGAAGATCTTAACACTCCAACGGCCCCAATCTCCAACTCCACAAGGCCCCCTGAATGCAAACTCGCCACCGGTGTGCCGCCCATACAAACTCTTTGTCGGTAAGCGAGGGTAATCTAGGGCAAGCCAAGGTCCTTAGGTCACTAGGTCCTGTGCCCGGCCAGGCCAAGGAGAAGGAGGGCGGCAAGAAGAAGAAAGCCAAGAACTAGAGGCGCTGGTTGTCTGCTAAGTTGCCAGAAAAGCCCCTGGCTAATTGAAACAAACACCTCGCTAACTCAAGCAACCAAACCCCTTTAACTTTACCTGTCCCATCTTGTGGGCTTCGTTCTGATGTTCATGGCAAGGGGCCTCAAGTTTTTTTGCGCCTGGCACGCGTTGCGTTTAGCTCTCCGATGCCCCGGCCCATTACAACCTGAGATGT